TTTTTTGGGCCCGGACATTTGTGCACCCCTGGTACCGGTCCGGACTGTCCGGGTCCGGTGATGTCCGAGTGTCCGGTAATGTCCGGATCACCGGACAGTCTGGACCGGTCCAGACACTGGTCCGGAAGTGTCCGGTGTCCGGGTCCGGGGTTACCATGCTTCAAACTCATATTTCCAGGCCCTGACAAGAGCAATGCAAGCAGTCCAACTAACCTCAGAAATGAAAGTTAACTGGTCCAAAACAGTAGAATGGTGGACCGCGGAAACTCCTCCCCCCATAGAGATAGCCCCGGCAGGACTACAATGGACAGATCCAGATTCACCAATTCGATTCCTAGGCATCAACCTCAACCTTAAAGGATGCCACCATATATCGGCAACAACACTCTTGTCTTCAATGGTGAATAGAATGCACACCTGGAAAACCACACATATTCCCTACTAGGCAGAGTACTAGCACTAAACAACTCCTTAACAATGATGTAGTATTCCACCTCCATTTGGTTCCCAGCCGCTGACTTTCAAAGTCGGCTGAGAGAAAAAGCAGCAGCATTTCTATGGACAGGTAACACGGATCAGCCACGCTTTATCCACAAGGTATCATGGCAGATAGTAACCAGCCCAAAAAGCAAAGGGGGCCTAGGCCTTATAGACCCATCCCGCCAAATCCAGGCTCTACAAATTAAATGGATTATAAGACTAGCCCTCCAGGACAATCTGCATTGGTCACCACTAGTCCTGAACCACATCAGAGAACTGGCACCATTTACTACTACAACGAACATGACAGGCCTTTTCTGGATTTTCAATAAATCCTGGCCGCTTCCAAAAGTGAAACAGACCCAATCCGAACAAACACTCCAACAAAACAACAACGACACCCCCCAATCCAAATCCCTGTGGGAACAAATACTACACACCTGGAGAACCATCTTCCCCAAGAACAGAACAGGTCCAAAGAAACAAAGTCCTCAGGCAACCTCTCTTCTGCAACCCACACATCAAGAACTACAAAGGGGAAATCCTCCCACTCTCAAAGTCAGAACCTAAATGGGGGCACTGGCTAGAAAAGGGAATTTGGCAAATCAAGCACATCTGGGACAACTCAAATAAAACATGGAAAACAAAAAGAGACCTACGAGAAAAACTGAAAGGAACACATCATCTTCAAACGAACGTAAATCACATTGTAGACTGTATTTCTCCACAATGGCGAGTCTTATTAAAAACAGACCAAAAATGGCATCACGGCGATTGGGCTACCACCACGAACCTCTTACCAATACAGGAAGTCCTCTCAGTCAGGAACTACGAACCCCACAACAACAGTTGGATATGCTGCGACATATACACAGTAGAAGATCCAGGAAACCCGGTAAGTTACATCAATATCATAAGCAGAGCAGAAGGAGCATTAAAAACAACAACCTGAGAAGAATCAGAATCATAGAAGGAGAAAGAAAAAGACTCTACAAACCCCACATCAGCGTTTCTAATCTGGAGATCAACCCATCGGAATGGACATGGAAGTCCTCCTCTAGTTCCACCCTCATTTCAAATCTAAGTAGGCTAACGGGCTACACACCCAAACTAGGTTATCGACTCCTCACTAAACCCATATGAATATCCAACACAGTACGCAGTAGGTGGACAAAGGAGGAACCACAACTGGCCAACACCCATTTCAAACTCCCCTGGGCCACAATCTTCTCCCCAAGACCGGTCAAGCTTGCTAGCCTCAGATCGTTAATAGCCTTCAGAGCAGTCCCAGTAAACCAATGGTTAGCCAACAGAGGCAACCACGAAAACAGAACGGAACAGGACTTTTGGTGCAAGGTATGCAACCTCGTTTCCCCCGAATCCCTGAACCATTGTTTTATGGACTACCCAAATGCCAGATCCCTCTGGCAAAGTCTAGAAGCGGCATGGTATAAAATATCGGACTCTCCCCGCCTAATTAACCCCACCACACTATTCCTCGACCTCAAACAAACACCTCCACTCAAAGGCTTTGAAGCCTTCCTCTTCACAAATCAAGAAAAGTACCCTGTGGGCTCTCTGGAAAAACAGATGTGACTGCACCTTCAATGATCGACTCATCCCCTCAGAGAACCCACTCATCATCATCAAACAACTTATAGACACCGAAATCCAAGCCCTCTGGAAAAAACAACTCAACAAGTTCCCCACTGACCCCGACAAAAAAAGCGAAACAATCAAAAAGTTCTCTACCTTCAAGCTAGGGAATGGGATGACAGACTAACTTTAAAAAATTGGCTGAACTTAACTCAGATAAAAAGCGATATGATACCTCCCCTATCCCACTTACAATCACCCCCAAACCAGTCACCCATCTCTAATCCAATATCGAATCAGTAAGTTCACCCCCCGCTCCCATCCAACAACCTCACTCCAATCACTTCCCTCCCTTGCACCCAACCGACGCCCTCCAAACTACCTCTACCTCCAACATACCTCCATTTCCCCGCCCGCCCCCCCCTCCCCCCCCAAAAAAAATAAAAATAAAAATAAAAAATAAAAAAAAATCCCCCTGCCAATACCCACCACACCAAGCTTGTCCAAACCCCCACAACCCAACCATCCCCTAAACCCCAACACTGGCCCTCCTAAGAATACTCCCACCAAATCCAATCAGTCCCCACACCTGGCACTTCCTTAGATCTCAGACCTGCCCTAGAAATCACATGTCTACCTTATGGAAACATCCACCAATGCCAGACTACAGACAAATAAAAATTAAGCTAGACTTTAGGATTCTAGCACCAATATCAGGGTAAGATCTAAATCCGAGTTGAACAGGCTAACTTAGGCAGGGGTGAAGGATGGTACATCCTTTCTAAGGGAAGTAATCAATGCGGTCCTTTGGTCCTCCACACCTTAAGCGGGAGGAGCGTGAGTAACTATTGTAATCCCTTCTGACTTGCCGGTGGAATAGGAACCGGACTGATGCTCCCCAGAATGGACAAGGAGCCGGAACCATAAGGTCACGTTTGGAAAAAAAAAAAAGGGAAAAAAAAAGAATGAAAGAAAAAAAAGAAATAACACCTGTCAGGATCAGGCAAATAAGGGTGTGAAGCGCTGCCTCACCGACTCTGGCTTATTTATCTTTTCTTTTTTCTTCTGTAAATATACTCTAATAAGTCAACTTGAGTTGGAGAGCTGTGTGATGGGCGACTATCTTCCACAGTTTGGAGAGCATGGAGGTAAGACGCGTGGAACTGGTTTGCATTCAGTCTGATCGTACAGTTCTTTTGTTTTTGTTTGATCATAGAGTCTTAAATTCTTAATAAAGCAGGATCAAATGTTTTGAGAGGTCTAAACCTCGATCTTGCCCTCATGTCACTGTTGTACTTTGAACATAATGGATATGTGCTGTACTGATATGCAGCCAGAAAGTGATTCACCACCTGAAAGCATTCAGGTTTTTGTGTCAGATAAGGGAACCCAGTGCCAGGCATCTTTTATTTCCAACGCGGACAGAGGTGCTTTGTGTCATGTATCTCTGGATTGGTTTGCGTTCTTGCACACTCGAACAGCCAACACATAGCTAGATTGTAATATTTCTTCGCCCTTCTTGCCTATTTCTATCTCATAGCAGACTCAAGCAGCCGATGCATAGCTAGATTGTAATATCTCTTCGCCGTTCTTTGGCTATGGTGTATCCTGCCAAAATCAACCTTTGAGCCCAGCGTCTTTTATTTCCAACGCGGACAGAGGTGCTTTGTGTCATGTATCTCTGGATTGGTTTGCGTTCTTCGCCCTTCTTGCCTATTTCTATCTCATGGCAGACTCAAACAGCCGATGCATAGCTAGATTGTAGTATCTCTTCGCTGTTCTTTGGCTATGGTGTATCCTGCCAAATTCAACCTTTGAGCCCGGCGTCTTTTATTTCCAACGAGGACAGAGGTGCATTGTGTCATGCATCTCTGGATTGGTTTGCTGTTATTTCTATCTCATAGGACACTCGAACTGCCAACGCATAGCTAGATTGTAATATTTCTTCGCCCTTCTTGCCTATTTCTATCTCATAGCAGACTCAAACAGCCGATGCATAGCTAGATTGTAATATATCTTCGCCATTCTTTGGCTATGGTGGATCCTGCCAAATTCAACCTTTGCTCATGGGTTGAGGCCTCGCTATAGCAGGGAATGGCCTAAAGAAATAGTGAGCATCCAATGGCCAGTTTTCAACTAGGTTCAGGTGCCCCTCCAAAGTTTGTTTGAATCGAAGGGTTCTTTCAGTAGAACACATCTAGACTATATATTGTAGTAATGGCAAGTCTACCCGTCGCGGCTGCCGCCGAGGCACGGGGCGGTATTCTTCTTTCACGAGGTATGAGTACCTCACCTCCCCACTTCGTACCCCTCCTCCACATCTTTCTTCATTTTTCTCGTTTTGGCAATCAAAGTTTCCTTCATCTCAACATTTGAGGCCGGGCTCCCCCCCCACCTGCAGCATCTACGCCGCTAAGCAAAAGAAAAGAAAACAGGCCTTACCCAAAAAAAAGAATAGGTGCTCAGCTCTTATCCTGTCTGCTAGTCCAGTAGGTTTCATGCCTGAGCGGCTCCGAGTAGCCGGGTTCTTATCTCGTTGCCGTGAATGGCCTGAGGAGGATGGGCAAGGCCAGTCAGGTGTCGGATTCTTATCCCGCTGCTGTCAATGGCCTGAGCAGTATGGCCAAGGTCAGTCGACACCGGTAGCTTGCTGGGCTGAGTTGTGCTGCCCTGTAACCCGTGGCAATGTGGGAGCGTCAGAGGCCAGGGGGAAGTGGCTGCTCAGGTCCTGCTGCGGCTGGTCGGGACACGCCCAATACAAAATTCTCAGGTTGAATTCTCAGTCAGAATCATCATAGATGACATTCATGGCTGGATTACGACGCCTATCAGGGTTGAGACCCTTAAGTCATGATACTTTAAGAGGCTTCAACTCTCAATATACCTGTCATAACAGAAGCTCAATAACCAATAATCATGAGATTCGTGACATAATCTCCCATTAAAAAAAAAAAGAAAAACGACCAGAAACAAGTAAACTGACATCCAGGACTACTCAGTCAAAATGGGGTATAAGCTATTGGGACCTATTCCTTAAGACTAAGGACCCGGAACCTGTAATCAGAAGTAGATGGTCAAAATTAATCGGACTAGAGGCAGACCCTATCTCACAAATCCCATGGAAGAAGTTCAAATCAATCAGACCTGTTAAAATTCGGAGTCTCCGATGGCTTATCGCATACGTGGCACTACCGGTCAACTAATGGCTCCACAAGCGAAGACGAAGGAGTGATCCTAACAGTTCGGACCTATGCACAGTCTGTTCAGATAACGAGCCAGAAGATATAATTCACTGCCTAATTCGCTGCAAGGAAGCTACAGAATATTGGGCCAGGGCCTCGGACCTCTGGAACTCCCTTTTCACATCACCCCTCCCTGAACATTCTATCCAACTTCTTCTCTGGACTAACATTCCTACTGATTTCAACAACGCTGAGAAGATATGGTATGGCAGCATCAGAAAAGTGACTCTCTGGTCGATCTGGAAGGAGAGATGCAGCAGAACCATCGAGGGACTATCAACTCCGAATGAAAAGGTTTGGGTGGAGACAAGGACTCTGATCCAGGCAGAGATCCTATGCAGATGGCACAAGATGAGACTCTCCATGCCTGAAGATGAAGATCGACAGTGCAGTATCATCTCCAGATTCGTCAAGGTCTGGCTGGTGGGGGGGGAAATAGCAGAGATAAGAGACTCCAACGTACGATGGAAAAATTGGCACAACTCGGAGACCAGCGGGAGAAGCTCAATATCTCACTCAATGGGGGCCCCACAAGATCCACAGGCTACATAAGGAATAACAACAACCTTCATTTTCATGTGGAAGCATTTTCTTTCCTTAGGTCTCCTAGCTGATTAAAGCCTATTTGACGGGTTTCCATTGGGGAATCTGAGTGGGAGTTCAGGGAAAGGCAAGCTGACAGTCAATCCTCCTATAAGGAGCAATCAATGCTGGTCAGGGTTCCTTCGGCCAGAAGGAAGGAAGCGTGAGCATGTTCTATGATGTATCAAGTTTTTGACTTGCCGGGGGGATGGGAGCCGGACTGACGCTCCCTAGAATGGATATGGAGCCAGGACCATAAGGGCCTGTTTTATTTATATTAAAAAAAAATGTTGCAGGATTTATTTTATTTTGTTTATCTGATTGGATCTGGATTCGAGCTCGGGTCTGTATTTCGACAGTTCATGAGTATACCAAATTACCAATTGAGCCAGGCCCGTTGGTGGGGTACGGTCAAATGTAAACGACACCAACGTGCGTAGCTCAGTTGGTACACTCATGAACTGTTGAAGTAAAGACATAAGGTCGAATCCAGACGGAATTGGTTAAACGAATTTGTGAAGTCCGTTGGCCTGGTGACTTCCACAATGATATCTCAAGGTCGTCACCCTTCTATTGAAACAACAAAATCGAACAGCGGGCTTTCTCTCCCTCTCTCCCCCCCCCCCCCTCCCCCTCTCTCTTTCTCTGTGTGTCTGTGTGCTTGAAGGGGTGAAGAGTTTCGTTCACGCTTGGCCAAAAAAGAAATAGGTACGTTGGTGCAGTGTGGCGAAGTGCATCGTCTCCCTCTCTCTCTCTCTCTCTCTCTCTCTCTCTCTCTCTCTCTCTCTCTCTCTCTCTCTCTCTCACACACACA